CTTTCTTTTTATGGGAATAGTCAAACCTTGTAAAGGAAAGTTCTTGTTATTTGGGTTAATGAATAGCTAATTGCTTTGCACAACAGTGGGAGCTGGAGTAGATCCCAGGCCAGGAGCATTGCTAGTTAAGCCCAAGTTGAGAACTGCCAACCTGGAGTGAAACTCAAGTGTTTTAATGCAGTACCACTGCAAGGCAAAATCGGTGCTCACGCTGCTGAAGGGGTTGCCACGTTTGCTTTGCCCGTGTGGGATCAGCATGATGTGTGTTACTGTTACATTCATAAAGCTGTCATAAATAATTAGCATACACTTTCTAGTTTTGAATAATCCTTAATAACAACTTTTATTCCCCTGAATGGCCTCCAAAGAGGAGCCTCGCGGATAGTCTAAAAAAAGTAGCCCCAAACATCTCTATAAGCACTGTCCTCAGCAAATTAGACACAGAGGCCTTTGGCATGGTCTTCTTTCCAAATGTCTGGGGGTTTTATGGAGGCTAATGATGTAACTGAGAAGCAGCATCTGCACTTTAGGTTGAATTCAGACATTTTCCATGCTAAAATAATTCCAGCTGCTTCATTTGCTTCCTTTTCCTGTAGATTCCTTTCCGATTGATGTATTTCATACTGACAGTTTTTATGGATATTGGCACTGGTCAAACAGAATTCCTGACCAAAATCCAGACAGAAATTTATTGTAAAATAGTATCTGTCTTTCCTAGCCAACTGCTGCTCATTTGGAGTCGCAGGGAAGGTGACTTTAAATTTGTATTTTAGTTACACAAAGTTAGTTTAGGGGTTTTTTGCATTTTAGACTAACTAAAATGGAAATCCAGGTTAGGTGTCATGTATGGACCATTCAGAGTAGTGGAAGCAGGAGAAGAGGAGTGGACGCATGGAAGTCAACGAAGCACAGTGGACAAGTCTGTCTCTACCAGGAGCAGTTATGTGTGCACAGAGCCCCCAAATTAGCTTGTCCTGGCTCCTTAGTGTAACAGGAAACACACTGTAGGGTATCAAAGAAAAAGGTCTTCTGGGTCAGAACCTGATGTTGTCTCTCATCCCAAGAGCCAGCTCTTGTTTCAGCAAAACTTTGAGGTTTGCTGAGGACTGGTAATAAAAGCTGCAGTGGCCTTAGAGACTTCTTCCATAGCTGCAAGAATACACTTCCTCCTGTCTGCCACTTACAACCTGCAGTTTACATTAACAGTGGGATCATTACATTTTTCACCTTCACTTATGCAGACAGTCCCAAAATTGGCCTTCACACTCTGAAGCAGTCCACGTCCTTCATTTCTTTGGACAGTCAGTCTAGTGAGAATATTGTATTTTACATATAATGGCCATAGGAATATAATGGTCCCACTGTACATACATACTCTTACAGCTTATATCTTAAAGAAATCCTGTAATAACTTTAAGAACAAATGATCATCACGGCTGTAGCCTTTTTTATGATGGCAAAAATCGGTAAAGAAGGAAGATGTGCCATTTGTTTAAGCCAGTATTTTAACATACATGAAGTTAACAGTAAATCTCAGGCAGCAACAGAGCTCTGCAAATTGGTGGGATGCTTGTGAGTACAAACGCTATAACAATTCCAGTGTCTAGTAGCTGTACAAGACCTGTTCATGCTTATCATGGCTTATTAGAAGTAGAGCAATGTGTTGTCATGCTGAATCTTGAGCATGTACAGGAGAATAGAGAAATCCTTCCGGGACTGTCTTTTTGCAGCATGCTTGACCTTGTCTTCAACATGGATTTGCATAGAGGATCCTGAGTGTATGGAGTTCATTGCAGGCTCAGGTTTGCAAAATGTCAGAACCGGTAATCCTTTCCTTGACTCTGGAAGTCAGACTCTCCCCTCAGTTGTCCTTGGGGAATGAAGCTAAGTCATTACTCTGGATATGGAAGCAATATTTGGGTGAGAAGTTTTTCCTGACTGTGATGCAAAACGATACAAGTGCCTCAGCAGTCTTGCATTCATGAAATTGTAGTGCTGCTTATCATCAAATTAGCAATACCCACTTCTCTTGCAAATGGGCTTCTTTATAGTCTAACTGGAAGAATGAGATCACTGAAAAGCAGCCAGTGATACACTAGGTACCATTATTTTCTGTGTTGACAGTTGAGAAAATAATGTCGTACCATAGAAGTTTAGTTTGAATTGTTTATTGGACTAAAAACAGTTTAAAAACCAAGAAATAAATCCAGCTGTTGGAAAAAAATGTGTTGTTTGAGGTGGATGAATTTTCATTCTGGGAACTATTTTCTTGTCTGCAGATCATTTGCAGGAATGTAAAAACTAATGTTTTTACTTTTCTTTGTATACAAATGTAGAACAAGCTCACCAATTAAGAATTGGATACCAGCCCATTTAAGGAAGATCACTGCATTTAGTTTTGCTATTTGACCTCAGCAGCAGAGTGGTGTGACTGAAAATATACCTGCACTGCACAAAATCAAAGTCTGCTAGACAAACAATAGCAATGTCCTTTTCTAAAGCATCCTTCAAAAATACTTGTACATAATTTCTTGCTAAGATTGATCTCTGCCAAGAAACTTAAATAGTCAATTACTAAATAGTACAGTTTTGTGACTGTCAGTTGAAACTCAACTTCAGGTAGGGTTTCATTGCATAGAAGGTGCAGGGAGGAATACAATGGACTGTGTTACCTTATAGTGACCTTAAGATAATAATTGATATTAGGTGGTCTAAAGATTTACAGTTCAGTCACCCATGACACCCAATCCGCAGCTTCCCTATTGCTTCCCTGGAGAAGCCAGCCTTCCTGAGGAGGAGGTCTCCCTCACACAGTAGCCCCTCCAGAAATGCCTTGAGACACTCCACCTGAGTGCTCCCTTGACGATACTGCAGGTGATAACTGTTTGAGAACTTCATATAAAAATGCCCAAAGGAACAATGATTAAGCTCCCCAAGAGAAGAATGGGGAACTGAGGAGAAGCACAATCCTAGCTGAGGAACAGCATTGGAGAGGTGGCTTTACTCCCTGTAGCCTTCCTATGTAGCTTTAGGTTTATGTCATAAAATCATGTTTTTAAATGTATTTGGGGCTTAAAGATGCAAGCAAGTGCCTTTGGTTAGACTCCAAAGCCTCTAAAAATGGCGGTTAAATAGCTCCACAGCTTTGAGGACCTGTATCTCAGTTCTCCACTTGCACAGTGGATGTAGTTGTGGCTCTGCCATGGAGACGGCTACGTCAGAACCTGTGATGTGCCTGGGTACCTTAGTGATGATATCTCTACACAGCCCTGCAGGCAATAAATTGTCTCTTTGCTTGATTTGCCTCAGTGCTAAATAATGGTCAGCCTGTGCTAGTGTGCCATGGTGCTTTGATATACCGATGATTTTCAGCAGCTTAGGTTCCGGCTGTGAGATTACTGACTTGTTTCCTTCACCGAGATGAGTAAGAGTAGGGAAGAAATTATGTGTTTGTGTATGTCCTTGTTTATCTTCCCCCACTGTGAAGCATTAATTGGTGACTGTGGTGGGTTGACCCTGGCTGGATGCCAGGTGCCCACCAAAGCCATTCTATCACTCCCCCTCCTCAGCTGGACAGGGGAGAGAAAACATAACAAAGGGCTCATGGGTCAAGATAAGGACAGGAGAGATCACTCACCAATTACCATCACCGGCAAAACAGACTCAACTTGGGGAAAACTAACTCAATTTATTACCAATCAACTGAAGTAGGGTAATGGGAAATAAAACCAAATCTCAGAACACCTTCCCTCCACCCCTCCCTTCTTCCTGGGCACAACTTCTCTCCCAGATTCTCTACCTACCCTCCCCCAGCAGCACAGGGGGATGGGGAATGGGGTTTACGGTCAGTTCATCACACGTTATTTCTGCCACTTCATCCTCCTCAGTGGCAGGGCTCATCACACTCTTCCCCAGTTCCAGCATGGGGTCCCACCCACGGGAGACAGTCCTCCACGAACTTCTCCAACGTGGGCCCTTCCCACGGGCTGCAGTTCTTCACGAACTGCTCCAGCATGGGTGTCTTCCGCGGTGTGCAGTCCTTCAGGAGCACACTGCTCCAGCGTGTGTCCCCCACAGAGTCACAAGTCCTGCCAGAAAACCTGCTCCATGGGCTCCTCTCTCCACAGATCTTCAGGTCCTGCCAGGAGCCTGCTACAGCGCGGGCTTCCCATGGGGTCACAGCCTCCTTCGGGAACCTACCTGCTCTGGCTTGGGGTCCTCCATGGGCTGCGGGTGGAGATCTGCTCCAACCTCCATGGGCTGCAGGGGGACAGCCTGCCTCACCATGGTCTTCCCCACTGGCTGCAGGGGAATCTCTGCTCCGGCACCTGGAGCATCTCCTCCCCTCCTTCTGCACTGACCTTGGTGTCTCCGGGGTTGTTTCTCTTATGTGTTCTCACTCCTCTCTCCAGCTGCCGTTTCTGTCTGTCCCAGCAACTTTTTTTCCTTCTTAAATATGTTATCACAGAGGTGCTACCACTGTGCAATCGCTGATTGGCTCGGCCTTGGCCAGCGGCGGGTCCATCTTAGAGCCGGCTGGTATTGGCTCTGTTGGACACAGGGGAAGCTTCTAGCAGCTTCTCACAGAAGCCACCCCTGTAACCCCCACACACACTACCAAAACCTTGCCACACAAACCCAATACGGTGACTGAAAGCAAAATTTCTTTTCCCCTCTTTGTTTTTACAGGACTCACATAGGAGTTAATTGCCAAAAAGAAAACTGCATGGTGTAACAGTATAAGGGATGACAAAGCGCATGTCAGGGTGGAACAGTTTGAAATGCTCTGAGGTCCTAAGGATGCTACTCTAATAATAATACTTATTCTTTGGCAATAGGGAGTAGGCAAAATAGTCTGTGATGTAATGGTCTGACTTGTCATTATGGCTTGCAAGCCAGTGTTTAGCCACTCAGCAGTTTAGGATTACAGAATTATCAGCAGAGAGAAATACTGTTGCTTGAAATTGTGACATGGTTTTATAAACTTCCTTCTTTTACAGATTCGGTTAAACAGCAGAGGACTTATCTATTCTGTTGGTCTCCTGCTGGCATCTGTTTTTGTCACAGTATGTATATAGTCTTTCATTCTTCATTTCCAAAAGAGTGATTTTTATAGATGTTTTCTTCACCTATTCCTTTCTTACCTCCAGCTGTAATAGTGGTTGCAAAGCCTGTTGTTACGGGATAGGAATTGTCATTCCTATTGTAAACTTTCCAAGACCTTAACCTGGCACTTTGCAGAAGCTATCACTGTCACAAGATGGCTCTCATTTGTATGGTTTTTATGGGAGGAGCCCAGGAGATTCATTAGTAATCGTTAGTTATTTTTCATGCTAGAGTTGAAGCAGAATCCCCTTGATGTATGATGAGATCCGTTCTCCTGTTGGACAGGTAGACAAAATGATATACAGTTTGCTTTGGCCCTCTCTAGGAACCTTCTGAAACACAACGCAGATGAGAACAAATAGTGCCTGGACATGACAATTTTTCTATTGAAATCAGTGTCTCACGTTCCCTGACCTGTCCAAGTCCAACATAGCAGACTAGAAATGATAGAGAGGATTTATGTGACATCTTCCAAATCATGAGACCAGCTGCTATAGGGAGTCCTCCTGTGCATTGCATACCAGCACCATTCCCATGTACACAAGACTTCAGTCTTTTAAGAAGTTTGTGTGGAAGGAAACTAAGCAAAGTCAAGCCCAGCCTTAGACTATGTGGCTCTAGATTGAGATGCAGAGGGGCACATGAAGTATTTTGAGCGAAGAAAAAGGAATCTGGCCTTTGAAAATGTTTCTGATTGAATTAAATGGGATTGTTCTTGGCAAAATGAAATTCATTGCAGAAACTTAAGGTCCTTGGGCCAGGACTCAAGGTGATGCAAGTCAGTGTGGCTTCCATGACTGTGAGGGGGCTACTCTGATTTACTTCAGCTGTGGTCTTCAGCTCACTTGTTGCAGTACTTGTATTGTGATTGCTTCCAGGTGACCATGATCAGTAAGGGGACAGTCATCTTCATGCTCCTGTAATTGAGAAGGGCATTTACCACTTTATTCAAAATGTTCCTGCTGTGGTGGCTTACTCTGTGTTTATTGTAGGTTTTTGGCGTCCACATGAACAAATGGAAACTGGATAAGAAGCTAGGGTGTGTGTGCCTTTCCCTTTACGGCATCTTCCTGTGTTTCTCCATCATGACAGAATTCAATGTTTTCACTTTTGTGAACTTGCCAATGTGCAGGGATCACTAATGCAGGTGGCAGACTGTCAGGAGGAACTTCCTTCTTACCTGTGCAATACAAACCACGGCTGGCATCTCCTGAATGCGGTGCACCTCCAAGTCGTGATGTATATCCTGTTCACTGTTCATAGGACCTGTGGCCCCATCTAGGTCTGCCCTCTCCCTGACCCCCCACAACCTGGAAAAATCCTGCATCGATGTGAAGATTATTTTTTTCAACATTCATGTGATTTCCTAGCTCAGTTTTTGAACAGTGTGACTGGGACTCTAGATGAACTGGCTGCTAACTGGCGTCAAGCCAGGTAAAACTGGTCTGCTACAATTCCTTCTTTTTTTAAGTTATTTGATGGAAGACTAATCTAATTTATGACTTAAGACTATAGCTACAATGCAGAAGAGGGTACATCATACAGGGGCTAATTTCAAGGAGAATCATGGGAATTTTTTTGGTTGGTTTTTGTTTTTGTTTTTTTTTTAGTTTTGTTTTGGGGGGTTTTTTGTTTTGTTTTTTTGTTGTTGGGGGGTTTTTTTAATTGCCAGAGATCAAAGTCCTCTCTTGCAGCTTCTCCTTCTGAGTGCTGGGTCTCCTGTAACGATCCAAAGGTCACAGGGCAGTGTAATATGGGAATACAATTCAAGGTACTCGGCATATGAATGGATTTACTGAGTATTAAAAGAAGATTGTCAAGGCAACAGATGATGACTTTTTACCATAAAAAATGAATCTTGTACAGGTGTGATGAGGAATGCTCATGGATTCAATGTGGATTCAAAGGGTAAACACTGCTACCATTTAACTACTAATGTTGGAGTTTTATTACTAGGTTGTTTATGGTTTTTCCAAGCAATAGTTTGATCGCCAGCCCAGGAGGGCTACCAAGGAGGTGTCTTGGTTTTTAAAGGCCTGCACGTCGAAATGGAAGGTCAGAACTTTCTCTGCTTCATCAGATTTCTTGTTTTGGGGGGATTCAATAGTTCATGTCTTATTCATTCTGAGAAGGACATAAGTACGTATTGGAACTTTTCTAAATGAGTTACAGACACTGGTTTCTTTAAAAGGAAAGAGGCATATTTTGCACAGACATAGTTACTGAAGTCATAATTTGCCACTCTTTAAAGAATACACTGGACCTGGCCAGATATTTGTCGTCTTAAGCAGTTGAACCTACCTGATAACAGATCATGTGGATTCATCACCCTTCCTTTGGGAGGGAGGAAGACACAGACAGATGGCACTTTTTAAAATGTGGAATATCTTCAATGCAGACTCGCTCACAGATCTTAAGTTATTGTGAAAGTTTAGCTATTCATTGTTCCAATATCCCTGCTAGATTTTGTATACTTCTGTATTAATATCCAGGTAGATTGCACCCCATGAGAAACACCATCACAGCTTCATTTGTATGTATTGATACTGTGGATTCTTGCCAGTGCTGGCTCTTGTATTTACTTTAAGCACTGATCACTTCTGATTCATTTGGTATGTTTTTTCCTCTTTCTTGTATACGTTCTACTATGAAATGTATTAAGATACTACCAGCTAGGTGAATGTTTTTGTCTATGGTTCAAACAGTGGCAAATATTGGTAGTAAAGGCACAGCAAACCCTACATAAAAGAAAGGAGAAAAAAAAAAAAAAAAACCCAAATACTAAGCTATAGCAGGAAAAAAAACTCCCAACTCAAAAAAAAAAAAAAAAAGCCCCATTCACAGACAGAAAGCCAATTTTTATTTCATTTGCACTTTTGGAAGTTATTTTTTGGTTTAATTTTCTTTGGGGAAAATGTTGTAAATCAAAATATTTACACCCTGTGGTTTCCATTCAGCTCAGCACCTGGTTTTCTTTCTTTGTTACACTAAATGTGTGGAGGCGCTGGCAGCTGTTGCACTGTGCGTGTCAAAGCCCAGCAGAAAAAGCTGTGTACCGCTGGCTTCGGTGAACAAAGTGTGCTTGTGGATCCCTGGCAAGAAGAAGGAAGGGTCCAGGGACAGGTAGTATAGAGAGTCAATGACATGCCTGCATCATTGTTTTTCATTCTGGAAAACAATTGTGTTGCTACTTGTTGAGCTATGCAACCTGTTGTTTGAGCAGCCTTCTCGTAACTATGCCTGCTGGAAGTCCTCTTGCGTTAGGAAGCCCACTGTACCTTCCTGTTGTTTTTTTTGTTGCTATTGTTTCTTTTTCTGTTGTTGTTAATGAGATTAATAATAATAACAATCACTAAAATGCCTAAAATACTTCCTTAAATCAAACAATGTTAGCAACAACGTGGCACACTTCACTAAAATCCACCCCACAAACACACCACTATACTCTCGTAGCAAGATGCAGTTGCTCCAAGGCAGAGTGTTTACTTGCTGACAGAAGGGACAGATTTGGGGAAGGGAAAAAAAAAAATAAAAAAAAAAGAGAAGTTTCACATCAGGGCCTATTATTACTTCTATTTTGAATATTTATACTGCTGCTCCAATGGAGCCAGTTGGATCTATTTCTACGAAATAGCCATTACCTATCCCGTGGCACAAAAACTGCATGAGTATTTTTTAGGAACTTTTCCTATTGGTGTGCATTAAATACTGTAGTATATCGTAGCTTTGCATTGTGTGTAAAACCTGAAATACCTTGTTTTGACACTTGCGTGTTGTGCAAGTTGTTTGTTCTAAGCAGAAGCAAAAGGTACATTGAACTGCCATTATCTGTGCCATATATGAATTGATAAGCACTTCCTATATTGACAGTTTCAGTGAGATGTGCTTACAATTTGCAACCAAATCAACCGGTGCAGACCTGGTTTGGAACAGGATAGACCTACTGAATGTGTGCGCTCTTGTTATTGTCTCCAAAAGAGAGAGCCTCTCAAGTTTGTTAGCGTAATCGAAGCCTGTAGAAAAGTCCCCAAAGCAAAAAACTTGAGCAATTTTTAGCATCCTTCCTGTACAACATCTCCAAAACTCACATAGACAGTTATATCCAAATGCAGTGCATATTAATAGCTTTCCTTCACTGAGCCAAGCAGAGGCCTGAGTCTGAGGGGTTCTCTCCTCCCGACGCTGGATTCTGGAAGTCGCTGGCTCTGAAAGGGGGACAGCCAGCGCCTGGCTTCGGTTTCCCAGTGAGAAGCTCTGCAGTGCCCGTTGCTGCCCAAGACGTGGGCCACTGTTGAGGTGCGGGGCCATGGG